CGAGCGCACAAAAAAAGAAAGAAAGAGAGAAGGATGCACTAAACCTCGAGAGCTTGTACAATAAAAATAACTGCGACTGCTGCAGCTACAAAAAAAAAGTAAACAAAACGAGAAAAAATTGATCCTTTTTTTTTTTTTTTTAAGAAACCACGAGAAGTACTTTTTCATACTTGTTTGACTTACGAATTATCGAGTGCAAATGTTGTTACAAATTCTCATATTTAAAATCGTGGCAGGCAGCAGCAGCAGCAGCAAAAAAAGAGGCAAATATAAAAAAGAAGGACAAGAAGCAAACAAGGACAAACACACATAAACGCGTATGTATAACACGTGTGTTAGTGCGATACTGGTTTAAAGGAGCTCGCGGCTAATTGCATACTGATTCTTCGCTTATTATGTGTACACACACACAGACACACATACCATTCGCAAAAGGAGCTCGACGCGAAAGCAATACGAATAATACGTACGTCTCGTCCTGGGCGCTCTCGAGCTCTCTTATCGCCCGCGAGAGAGAGAGAGAGAGTCGACGGTGTAGTATTATACATGCACTCGAACTCCTTTTCAACTTTATGTTCTGAGAGTTAAGTCGCTCGGCAGTCTCGAGAATCACGCTTACACACACACACACACTTACGAGCCCACGAGCTCTTTGGAGAAATCCCGCCTTATGGCTCGATCTCGATCCTTATATTCCTGTTTTATCATCGATGTTATTCAATGAATATGCAAAGTAATCTCTCGATATCTCTTTTAACGTACGTGTATATTTCTTTTTTCTTTCTAATTACGTTAATCCCCGATAATATTCATCGACGTTTCGCAATTTTTATATACCTTTTTCTCCGATCGTTTATCGAAGTTCATAAAGTTAAGTCCTTCTCGTTCGACTTATATACAGAGGTTATTGTCGGATTGGAACGAGTACTCGAGAAACTTGAATAAATCAGTGCGCGCGACATCGTCACCGCACAATGTGCTTAATAATTTTCTTCCTTGCGCAAAAGCTTGCGGTACCTTTCCAGCCCGCCCGCCCAACCAACCGCCGGAAAAGCTCTTTTAATAAAAACTTGATAAAACTCTCTGCCCCGCGAACATTTATCAAATTTCCTTAAAAACTAATTAAATGTAAAGGCGCTGTGTGCTGCTGCAGTGCCGTCGGTGTCTGTGCTCGCGCGGGCGAAAGGATCCTCTCTCTCACTCTCTCTCTCTCTCTCTCTCCGACGAAAGACGATTAAAATTCCCTTTAAAACACATTTTCCTTCTCTTCGAATAGCCCATGCATTATTCTAGCCGAGCTCCTCTATCGAGCTTCAAATTCAACGCCTATGCATACATATACATCACTGGAGCTGTGGAGAGTCTTACCCTCCTTCTTTCCTCGAGTGCCAAAAAACTTATAGTTTTTCATCCTCCAATAGTCGATTTTATAACGAAAAATATTGCTTAACTCAGAGTATTGAGATACGGACGTGTTTTTGTATTGCTCCATAAATTATTCTTTTCTACATATCCTACTACATTTTTCTACAGTTCTTAGATAATTCTCATTTTTTTGCTACAGTTTTTGATAGTTACCAGCGTTTCCAAATAAATTCGTAAAAACAAAATAACGAACGTTACAATAATTGCAAATGTGCTGGAGCCAGCTCATCAGTTTAGGAAAAATAAATGAAACACAAGTTGTTGTGTGTTCTAACAACAAGTGCAAAACTTGTTGGTCGTCAATTTTATTTTAATGCTCATCATCACCATGAGTTTGACTTCAAGAATGTCAACATTTTGCACACAGAGAAGAACTAGTACAAGAGACTCATCGCGGAGATGTTTTATATAAAGAAAAATAAATTTGCCATCAATAAAAAAGAAGATACGCGTGAACTGAGTTTATCATATTATAGGAGTCTATTTTTATAATTTTATAATTTGATACATTGTAATTGGGCTTTGATTCTTTTGTTTGTGTTTGTATTTGCAAGTTTATACTGCCTTAGAATAATATTTTGTGTGTTTAGTATATTGCTCACTGTAACCAGGTGTGTACTGCGTGAAAAATTGGTGATATTATTGATACGAGTATAGCTATTATTATATAATAATTTTCCTTCTTATAGCCTGATGAGGTCGAAAAAATTTCGACGAAATTTCGCATATTAAAATGAAATTGACGACCAACAATTTTTACACTTGTTGTTAGAACACAAGAACTTGTGTTTCATTTATTTTGCCTAAACTGATTAGCTGGTGAACTCTAGAACATTTGCAATTATTATAATTAAAAAAAGGCAACATCATGAACACGACGAACATCACTTTTGACGAACGTACATAATATGTTATACGCGGGGCATTTTTAATATCTATCAAACTCATCTATTTTGATCGTGCGTATTTACAATTTCATTAACTCTCGCCACCAAGCGGTTGACGCTAGTAATTGTACGTTAACAACTACATTCGAAAAGTATTACGAATTTTCATACTTCTTCATTAATTCCTTAAATATCCTCATGGTTTTTCACTCTCAAATATTCGATCCAGCATGCGTTTCGTGCAATATAAAAACATTGTTATTTCGTACCTCGCAGTCGATGTACGAAAAAAAGACCCAGCTATACAGCGCAGTTACGTTCAAGTGTCTTATCTCGTCCACGCGCGCGAACGACAACGTGGGAATGTGCTTTTATCATATTTTTTTTTTCGTTCACGTATAAATGACAAAATTGAAGTTTCGCGTCGCGGGCGAGAGCGTACAGTAACGACGCGAAAAGTCATTAACTTTTATAGGCATTTTAATCCCGTGTATATAGCCATGAGGCGCGCGCGCAGCAGCATGGGCTAGAGACCGTGCGCAGTGCGCTCTTTTCAATTTTCATAAATCTCATAGATTTCGAGCGCGCCGGCCTCGATAAACTTCTGCGCGCACTTTCATCCACTACTATACGATGCTCGGTGTAAATGAAATTGGTTATACACTCGCAATTCGAGAGAGAGAGAGGAAAAAATGACGTTTTTCGCACCCGCGCGCGCGAGCCCTCAAAGGTGGTTTCGGTTAATCCTCGAGCTTTCGATATGGATGTGGAAAAAAAAATCAAAATCCAACAGTTAAAACAAATAGACAAAGTTTCACATTCAACGTGTTCACGCTTTCGAACACGTTTTTCGAATGAACGAGAAAAAATCTACACCCGCGGGCATTCGATCGTTTTCAGCAGAAACAAACAATCGTAACATACGGAACACGAGCAAAGCAAGAGTATACATAATTGCGTCGAGTAATCCTTTCTTGGACTCGGTCTCTCGTGTACTCTTTGCGTCAAAAGCCGCCTTGAAAGCTCCGAAAGGGGGAATGGCGGCAACGAGCGACGTTCTTTTTTCCCCACAAGAGGATAAAGTTATGCGTTTTATCGCGCGGTAAAAAGTGGTCTCTTTAATAGGCAAGCAGCAGCCCTTTGACACGTGTGGCATGAAACGTTCGTTCCTGCAAGACGTATATATACGTATATATCCCGGGGCTTGCACGGAAAAGCACTGTTGCTACATGTGTGTGCTCGCTTTGAGTTGCTTGCCACTACTGCCGTTGCTCTCTGCGATTTTCAAATGCACACGTGGATGCACTTGTAACAGCGCCCAATACAAGTATATACGTAGCGGTGCAGGCAGAGCTAACTTTATACCGGCGTCAATCGAATTTTCCTCCGCTTTTGTGTGTATGTGTGTACTACTTCATCCAGCATACATCCGTACGTAGCTTCTTTGTGTGTGTGTGTGTGCGCGCGTGCATTTATAAGGACCCACTCGCACATTTGCCCCAGTGCCGCCACGCTGCGATCTGCCAGGGCTGCTGACTTTGTTACGGATTTACCCCGCCGGAGCTGAAGCTGAGTTTTGAACTTTTAAAGTGAAATTTCTTCGGGGTTGAGGTACATATATATATGTAGGTGCGAGAGTTCGCGAAAAACGAGCGATTGTGGCGCGCGTCTGATATATATACGTAGTGAGGATATAAACACTCGGGCTCCGCACTAACCTAGCTCGAACCTTCGCCATACTTTATTATCAAAGTTGAATAAAAATTTTTATCGAATGCTATTTTCCGAGTTTGAGTGAATTTTAGTGGAGCATAAAGAGCTTTTGAAATAATGTCGTTCGAAGGACTCTGATTTTTTGTCAAATAATCCGAGCCGCGCGTGCCCTGCGCACGAATAATGAACGATCAAACGACGCGTGTGACGCGCATTTGCTTAATCAACGTTGATACGATATATGTGCACCCGTACGCGCTTCATTACGTAATTACACGTATCGTATTAACGCGTGTAAAAAAAAATATATATATCCTGTCCACGTTCATTTTTCGTGTCAGTAATTTTGCGAGGATGTATGTAGATATGCAACGCGACCGACAAACCGAATACGATGTATTATTTGCATATAAACGAGGTATAGCGCGCGTCGATGACACGGAGATTACGAGCTTGTATATTATATATACCCGCGTATGCATATTATAGGCGTATAGGCCAGAGGACTCCGAGCTTCTCGCGCGTGTATTCGGTGACAATGTTGACAACATTGATACTCGACGTCGAGTCGCGCAAGTGCACGCGCGAGCCGTCTCGCTCGGGACATCCCTTCGTAGCGCTTCATCGAGGGCCTTCTCGCTTGGCCACGCGATGTCAGCGTAGCGCGCGGAGAAGAGAACCTGACAAATCGCCGGAGAGAAATTGATCCGCAACGCGTTGGACATCGTACGTAGAGCTTTACACGCGCCTGCAGACTTGACTAATTTCGCTACTAAATCTGATGTATACGAATTAATGTAACTAGCTCGTTCTCGGTTCGCTTGTACATTTTTTTTTATTTTCCGTAATATAATATAACATCGATAGAAAATTGTTTACTATTCATTCAGACATGAGACACATCATAACGACTTGGTTTTGCCTCGTTTAGACTTATTCGGTTGACTTTCATAACACGATTTGTAAATATTATATATTGAATTAGATTTAAGCTAGCTTGTTTGATGTGTAAAATCATAACACAGAGTTTAGTCGTTCACTAAATTTAAACTGTGAAAGATGGAATCGAGTGACAAATTCAACTGTGCCGTTAGGTAATTTTTATCATAGGGATGAAAGTATTAAAATATTATATTATAACCCTTAAACTTGTTTGACTTTTTTCAGAGTTAAAGAAGAACCTCGCGATGTGTCTTTAACTGAAGATCTTAATTTAATAATTGACAACAAACCCGACCCTAAACATTTGCAGAACTTGAAGTTTCTGCAAGAATTTCCCGTAAATTTTGATTATCACATGCGAATATTTTGATTGTCATTTTTAGCTAATATTTCTACACAACTTCAATTGTTCTTGTTGTAGACTCAAGTACCTCAAGAATGTCGCGACAATCACGAATGTGAACTCCGTGAAAATTTGGAAATAGTTTTTGAGTGTAAAGACGCAAAGTCGAACCTTAATTTATTGCCAGTTAAAAAATTTGACCATGATTCTCCAAATTACTCGCATATGATAAATAGCAATGATTATAATATGCCAAACATAATCAAAAGAGAAATCTCGAGAGAAGTGAAAAAAGAAACTTTTGACACAGAAGAATCAAATTTTAATTTTAATCGTGAGTCTAGCTTGGAAAATGAAAAAAGAAGAATTACAAACAAGTCTAATTATGAAGATCGACTAAAAACACAATTTGATACGGCGCATAATAAAATCACTTATACATGTCATATTCTCAAGAAAAAATTCACAAAGAAAGATAATCTCAAAACTCAAATCGATTTGGTACATCGTAAAATAACCCATGCATTTGATAAGAACCCGAAGACATTCATGCAGAATGATGTCACCCACTCATGTGATATTTGCCGAAAGACTTTCAAACGAAAAAGTTATATCAAAGCTCACATTGATTCTGTGCACAATGGTGTTAAACACGCATGTAATATTTGCGGAAAGTCATTTTCACATAAAAATAGTCTCACAACTCACATCAATTTTATGCATAATGATGTTAAACACGCATGCGATATTTGCGGAAAGACTTTTTCCCTGAAAGGTAATCTCAAAACTCACGTCGATTCCATGCACAATAGTGTCACATATGCATGTGATATTTGCGGAAAGTCATTTTCACAAAAAAGTTATCTCACAATTCACGTCGATTCCATGCACAATGGTGTCACATATGCATGTGATATTTGCGGAAAGTCATTTTCACAAAAAAGTTATCTCACAATTCACGTCGATTCCATGCACAATGGTGTTAAACGCGCATGCGATATTTGCGGAAAGAAGTTTGCATTTCAAAGCTATCTAAGAAACCACATCGATGCGGTGCACAACTGTGTCACATATACATGTACTATATGTGAAAAGACATTTTCAAAAAAAAAAATCTCAAAATCCATATCGATACTGTGCACAATGGTGTCAATCATGCTTGTAATATTTGCGGAAAGAAATACACTGCCCCAAATTCTCTCAAATGTCACGTTGATTCGTCACACAATAAAATCACATACAAATGCGATACGTGTAGAAAAACATTCTTAAGAATGGAAAGTCTGAAATACCACACAAAAGCAGTACATAACAGTGATACCCATCGATGTGATGTTTGTGGAAAGGTATTTATGTACAAAAACAATCTCAATAGTCACGTTAGATCGTCGCATGTTGCTATTGTTTAAGTTTGTGGTATAGCAAAATGTTTGGACGAAAAGGTTATCATAAAACCTGCATCGATTCGATGCATTATTTTTGCATTAAGATATAATAAATATATAAAATGTAATTTACTTGTTTAGAAGACCAAGATAAAAATGTTTATTTATAATAATGTCTTGAGTTTCTCCAATATTATCTAGTGGTTTGTAATAAATGTTCTTGTTTTGTCTAAGTTAATATATTTTTGGAGAAAAATGAAGCGAATTATTAATGATGAGTCAATAAAATGTTGAATCTCTCAAATTGATGTTAATTTTCTAATGCTTTCATTATTTTTAGCCAATTTCATTTTTATATGAGAGTAATATATAATATATAAATCCATCTTTTATAGTAATTATTATAGATCCACTTACGCCTCGATTCGAAGCAACGTTTCATATAGAAGATGAGTCAACGTACCTGAAACAGAAAGACAGTTTTCATGAACAATCAATTTTACGATAGCGATCAGAAATTTATTGCGTTTAAAAAAAAGTGAAAACTTTCTCAATCATCTCCGTACTCTTCTTAAGTGCTTTACAATAATAATAATTCGTGTGTAAAAATAGTCCGTAACATCGAAAGTACTTTTGGCGAATCTCTCAGTGTTATCATTCAACCGCTGCGCAATTCTCTACGAGACGAGGTTTCGCGATCGCTAACTGCACAATGCGTAGTTTAATGTTTGATATACGTGGGAGGCTTCATTCGCATCGTATCGATTAATTATTCGGTATAACGATAAATACAAACAGAGCGGAATGTTTTGACTGCAATTTTTTGCAGCTGCGGCGCAGCACAAAAAATGTTTATTCAAATCATCAAGCAGCCGCGCGTACCCACAAACATACACACACACACACACGCGCGTATGCGCAGACTCGAGTCTGGCAAACAGCGCGCTAACCCTTTGAGATACCATAAATCAGAGGAAGATTAATGCTCGCGCAAAACAAGGGCGGCTTCTCATTCTCTCTCGGCCTCGCGGCAGCAGCAGCAGCTCTTCTGAATTCTCGACGTGTCGCGCGATGAGGAGCGAAGATACCAAGCTTACTGCAGCCCGCTCGCTCTCGCATTGTGAAGAGTCACGCGAGACTTGAAGAGTCGAGTCTTAAAGGCGCTGTGTATACATGGGCACGAGATGGGTAGGCGTATGCATGTGCACACACTCGCGCGTGCGCTTTTATATGACGTTTATGCCATATACGCGTGCACACGTGGAATAAGCGAGTGAGGCAAGTCCACGTCTCTCCTCTAGATGAAAAGGCTTCACGGGTAAAACTGTAAGGACTCTTTATATAAGCTGCATACGTATAATACGAGCTTAGCGCTCGCGCCCGTGTGTGGGAGAATGTTTTTCAAGAGGACCAGGCGCGCGCGCGTGCGATGATGAGTGTGTGTGTCACTTTCGAGAGTTACACTGCTGCCTAATTTTACCGAGAGACTATCATACAAAAATATGAATACAGACACTAGCGTAAGCGCAAAATTCAAGGGCGAGACGGTCGATTGCCTCGTAGATCAAGTCGAGACGGGCGCCTACATGGCCATCTGGTTTAGTTTAAATTGATTTTTGGCCCGAGTACGCGATAATAATTTTTATCGGCGCGCCTAATTTCTAACGAGGTGTAACGAAACGAGTTCCTATCTCGTGGAGCACTTTTGTGGGTGATTTAAATTTTAGGTTTTGGAACTATTCAAAATGAATTATTATATCACGCATAAAGAGAGCCTTGAGCTCATCTTAACGTTATCTGCATAGTTCTGTTCGATGGGGTACGCATCGTGCCTACATTATTAACGAGAGCAAATTTACGCGAGCGCGCGTGACTCCGTATATACAACGTCGCCAAGTCTCTCTCGGCTGCCGTTTGTCGCTCTCTCGCACACACACACACACACACACACTACATAATAATATAACATACACATCGCACAGTGTGTCACCCGTATACATGTAATCATGGTTCGGTGGATCAGCAATATGGCGCGCACCTGTCAGTGGGTTTAAATTCTCGCGCAGTAGCACGCACAGACACACATAAACACACTGTAACTAACTCGATCGAATTGCTATATGATTTGCTCTCGTACATAGTATAATTACATATACCAAGCGAACGCATGACACGCATCGCATCGTACATATCAGGGTATATAATGCGCTATATACAGCGCATAGATTTGACGAAACCGAGAGAATCAAAGCGGCCTATACATGGATGATATTTCAGAGCTATTTTATAAGTGCGCGCTAATTTGGCGAACAAATGGCCAACTCTCGGCAACTTTCCGCGACACTCGTGCATGTATAATCGTTCATACATTACGTAGGTACGTATACCAAAAGTCCTGCGTCACGTAGACGTACACTGTTGGTTTCGACACTATGCTGCAGCATACCTTATACATATTGATATGTGGGAAGGGGGTCAAATAAATAATAACATAGGAATTACGTGGTAGATTGGGGGGAGAGTACGAGAGAGATATAAAGAAATGATAGCTACTGTCATACGAATGGAGTGGGACTGACTCGAGTGCGATGCGGCAGGTGCTTTCGCACCTTGGCGCTGCAAATAGTTACGTGAACAGCCGCTGCACTTTCGGTGCAGTGCGGCATGCCCACGTAACACGGCTAAGGTTGAAACGCGCTGTCCCACCAGCGCACTAAATGATAACAAAAATGTACTGCTATTAATTAATAGCTCTCTCATACTCTTTTCCCGATTTATTAATAATATAATAATCATTACTATTATTATTATCTATTTTCTTTTTCCAAACTTTAACAAAATGTTTATTTTAACTTTAATCCAATACAATTTCAATAATATTATTTCAATATTCAATATTATTTCAATATTATTATTCTCAAATATCATATACTTAAATATTATAAATTTTCATAAAAACCCATATTTTTCCTTCTTACAATCATAGCATATAACATTACAAAATAATATAATTTATAATATTCAAACCATACCAATTTAAATTAATATTACATAATATTTTCAATACATATAACATGTTTAACCATTACCAATTTCCATATATAGAAAAAAAATTTTAAATCCCTTACAATCATAACATATAACATTATAAAATAGTATAATTTATACTATTCAAATCATACCAATTTAAATTAATATTACATAATGTTTTCAACGCATAAAACATATTTAACCATTACCAATTCTCATATCTAAAAAAAATTTTAAATCCCTTATAATCATAACATATAACATTATAAAATAGTATAATTTACATTATTCAAATCATATCAATTTAAATTAATATTATATAATGTTTTCAACGCATAAAACATATTTAACCATTATAATCCCTTACAATCATAATATATAATATTATCAGCCAATTTATGCTATAACTTATGACATTATGTTTGATGACGCTGTCGAGCTCGCGGATTTTCGGCTATCAAGGCCTCAAGATTTTCAACGCTATAATTTAAGGAAGTGTGTACTGGCAAGTTGCAGTGAACTATTGTACTTGTCGTGCCTGTTTGCGGGAGGGCAATACCGGATCGATTCGGTTGGATAGGATTATTGTGAATCGGACTNTGCAGTAGTTGGATATACACTTGCTTGCTGTCTGGGGACTTCGCTGTCATCTCACACGAGCCCACCACTGAAGTAGATACTGCGGTGAAATTGGGCGACGATGTGCCACACATGTATCCCGATAGGCCCTCAGCTGCACGTGTTAATACACCCAAAAAAACTAACAAAATAATTAATTGAGCCATTTTAGCTTGATAAAATGCAGTAAAACAATTTATTATTCGCGCTCTCTGTGCTTATGAGGCACCTGTCGTTGGCCACTTCTAGTTGCTAACTGCCAGTGCGATATTCGGAAGCGCAAGTTCTACTGCCGGCGTTTTTCTCCTTTTCGTGTCATAAGATACGGTGCTTAGTGGACAATCGGCTAAAATCATTTGTAAAAGGCAGGTGGCTTGCTTTATCATCGTATACATACTCTCACCGTCAAGCGCCGCGCTGCTGGCCATACCTTAGTTTATGCAACTCTTTGTGTCAAGTCTGCATCTCCAATTTCGCGGGCGCATCTCCGGTGCATGAGACTTATGCAGCGAGCTACTGCTTAGTTTGACTTTAGCTTCTGCTTCGCCAACATCGTCTTTCTTCATCATTTTTAAAAGTAAAAAACAAATATATAGAAAAAAATGTCACCCAAAATTAAACAAATTGTGACGGTGCCAATCAGCAACAGCGTTGGTACCTGGATGTTTACCATCCAGGTGAACCCGAGGGTCAATAAAATTCAATTCCTAATCGGCAGTGGCGTCATCGTAAGTACCCATATATACAAAAAAATACTTTCTCCCACTCAATCTATCAAAGACATTCTTACTAAAAATCCTAAACATCTTTCTTCAAAAATTAAACATCCTTTGTTCTATTTTTGTTATAGGACTCCTTTGATAGGTACGAGAAGTGCCATATAGAGTGTTGGGACGTAAACGTGGGCGAGGAGGCGCCTACCTGTCCCTCCTGCGGCCGCCCAACGGACACGCCGGCCACCTACGTGTATGCGCCTCTACATATGTAAAACACATTACATATAGAGTTGTAACTCAAAATTTGATTTTTCTGTTGTTTTTTTCAAAAAAATAAAACAAAAAATCTAATTAATAAAACATACTGTTAATTCATTGTTTAACCCCTCACGTCCAATTCCTTATTAAATAATTCAAAAAAATTCAACTATTTTAAATTCTAACTGTTTTTTTTTTCTTCTTTTTTTCTTAAAAATTCAATTATTGCAAAAAATTTATAAATTAATTTCAGTCATTGCAAAAAGATTTAAATATTCCAATTGTTGCACAAAAATTTAAATATTTTCAATTATTAAATATTGCAAAAAAAAATTTTAAACATTTAAAAAATCTCAAGTTCAATCATTGCAACAAAAAATTTAAACATTCCAATTATTACAAAAAAAAAAATAAAAATATCTTCAACTATCAAATCAAAAAAATATAATATTAGTTCTCCTTGTCTATATGCAGTTGTTCGTTGCAAGCTCGCTGCTGTTCGCTGCATGTGGTAACCTGAAACGAGCCTTATCATGATTAATATACGCGCTCCGCTCAGCGACTGCGCGTAATATAATAAGCATTGCATTAATTCTCACGATATGCTAGTACGGCTAAGGTTGAAAAAAATGAAAATTTTTTTT